ATATACACTAGATAAGTACATTTTTCTGGAGTCAAAATCAAAAGAACATTTTCTTATAAATTAAGTAAAGGACATTGACCTCTCTCTTTTTCTTTTTACGTAAACAACATTTTGATTGTTTACCATTTGACTTTCAAATTAAGAAGTGTTTTACGTGTGATTTTTTTTTTTTTTTTGACGTCTAGATTTATTATTTATTGCAAATTATGAGAACTGTTACATAGACGATTCTACAACGGACAATTCCTTCCGACCCTTATTAGATCCACGACAGACGACACTTCCTTCTCCATGCTCTTGACGGACACCTTCAATGATCCACGACCTGACGACACTTCTCTCTATGCGTAGAATCTTGGCGAACGGCTATAATTGTACTTCGCTGGAGATCTCCTGCACACTTGCCTCCTTTAATCTGCAAATTTATTAATAAATCACAATATCTGGGACTCGAACCCCAGACCTCTTGATGTAGAAGCATTAATTAACCCTTAGTCAACCAACGGGCCAAGGGGGCTTCCACTACGTGTGATTTTAAAAGATAATATATTATTTTATTTGATAGATATTTCGCCCCAAACACACTAGTATACCATGTCACGTTATTTTATAAAATCACACAACTTTGAAAAAAATGCATAAGAATCTTTTCGTCAACCTACGCAAAAATCCCGTTTCCCATCATTTTATCATTTTCCCATCAAAATTATTTACTTAATTTAACTATCACCCAAATTAAATGTAACTATCTGCATAATAACAATTTGTTTTTTTTTAGTTATTGTTGTAGACTCTATGCTACATACACTAACCTTTTGAGTATTTAGTGGTGTGTCTCTGGAAAAAGGTGGATTTTGCATTAAGAATGATGGTTAATAAGGGAACATGTGACCTGACCTTCATTACTAATTAATGTCTTAAAAAAACACTTTCACTAAAAATATCAAAAACCTTATCCAGAAGTTTTATGTTTGTAAATGCATAGTTGGGATTTCATTAACCCTAATATCTAAGCCTAGTAGGTTATAAAATTGATTACCAAAATCACAATTTCCTAAATATATTTGGAATTAAATTACATATCTGACGTATCTATGAGTTCATCAGCTTTTTTACAGGCTGTATAATTTAATTAGTCAGGCATGCAATAACTAAGAGCCATTTTTAATGAATGAGCAGGTGTTATGTGAGAGCAGTGCCTATTGCATTAATTTAAAGAGCATTGATTTGTTCAACTAAAATCCAGATTCTCTAATCTTTTGCATTAAATTAAGGAATTGATCACAAAACTATTAAACCCCACCAATATAACAATTAACACACTTTGAAAGTGAGAAAGAGACAGATAGGTAAGGGACCTCAGTGTCTTTTACAGTCGAATCCTATGAATGTGGAGCACTAATCAATTACATTTCATGGGACATATATAGGTATTATTACATAAAGACAAAGTAAAATGCCAAAATATATTTGCCCCACATTATTCCAAAACCTAAGAAAACTAAGAATCTTGTGAGTTTTGACCAATTGATAAATACTCTTAACGATCAACATCGTGTTGGTCAACACCAAAAGATTATTTTTGCTGCATGAATTTTATTTTATTAATCTGAAAATTTTATGGCAAAATTTTAGAAGTTTTGTCTTGATTTCGACCTAAACGTTCAAATTGTACATGAAATAAACTCTACTAGTCTCAACCACCTGAATGATCTCTTGCTTCTTTTTTTTTGTTTTTTTTTAAATCTTCTGATATTTCCATTAGGGATTGGACAAGTTTAAAAACACATTAGATGAAAGTTAATAATTTGCAGAAATGGATATCATTATTAAATCGTTTATACGACTTTGTAAGTAATTGTTTGGGATATTAACATTTAAGAATTTTATTTTTTATTTACTATTATTTCTATCGATGTGAAATTATATTTTCACATAACGATTAAACAAGTACAATCGCAATTACAATCACCCGCAAATTTATATTTTAATATACCGAAATTATATATATATATATATATTTTTCGAGTTGTGTCATCTCTTTTTTATGACTTTAGTTACATCAAAGATTGCACAAATGTATAGGATTGTTTTGCCAACATTTCTTACCGTTTCCTTTAGGTTAATATAAATGAATATTCATCATTGAAATTTTTTTATTTACCGAATGATATTTGAATTTCAGTGATCGTTTATGATCCTTACCATTTTGATACGTATAAACTTTTGGTGATTGTCACTTAGAAACGTACTTTCTGACACGAGAACCATAAATCCTTTTTCATCAGTATGGGAAAAAACATGTAAGATATTTTTGTTGACTGAATATGATAACATGCTAATGACATGTTTTTGTAGTACTGAATTATTTTTCTTGGACACTATACGAATTTCGAAATGATGCTTTTCCTTTATGAATAAAACAAAGTAAATGATCTAATAAAGATTCTATATAATCCATTTCTTCGTGTCTAGTGATGTGCATACATTCATACATTTGTTTTGTAGTCAACTTTAAAACTAAAGAAAAAGTGTGTAAGTTGGTAAATGTTTAGAGTTCGTTGAAATAATTAATCCTAAAAATAAATTCTTATAAGTTGATCTGACTATATGTGAATATAAATATTCACAAACTTATGTCGGTTAAAGCTTAAAGATTCTCCCCCACATTGAAGCTAAAATTCGCATGAAATCAAGAGAATATCTTTATTTATACTATATGATAAAAGAAAATATATAGTATTTATTACGTGTCCCTTTTGTTTGTCGGTTTGTGGATTAGATCAGTCTATCACTAATCACTTATTTAAGAGTTTCTCATCTTCTTACTATTTCTAATTTTTTTAAAATAAAGTTGCATGGTTGCGAGATTTTAATAAGGGTTAATTACGGGCCAGGCCCATGTTTTATGTTTTTCTTTCACGTTTTGACAAAGTGGGGGAGAGCTTTCATGTTTTGACAATTATGTCATTTTCGGACGAATTTACCCTTCCAGCGAAACCAGTGTACAGTCACAATGGACGAATTAGTTAGACGGTTTGGTTACGTACACAGTATCTCGTTAGCTACAGTACACGCGTTATGTACAGTACACTCTCGTTAGCTACAGTGTAAAAAACAAAAATAAAAAATAAAAAATAAAAAATATAAAAATATAATAAGATTATTATTATTATTCACCTTCTTTTGTTTTCACATTTTTCTCTTATTTGAATTTTATATAGATTTATTATTTTTGTATTTTTAGTTAAAATTTATTTATTTTCTATCTTCGAAGACCCATTTTCATATATTTTAACTTTGAATAATAATTTATTTCTTAATTTTATCGTGTTGTTGAAAATAATTCGAGATTAACAATATCATGTACTCATGTGACGTACACGATAGTAATTTGTGTGCATATATATACATAAACATCTAAATAATTTGTATATTTAAGTTTAAAATATTTTTTGAACATAAAATAAAACATTCAAACCATGTACGAACTACAGCTGAAAAAAATACCTAAAACTAAATAATCAAACCAAACCTATTCGAAAAATAAGAACTGAACCTAGAACTGACAAAATATCTGAACGGTGTACGTAATTGGTGATTATGTACGTAAACATGTAGTAATGTGTACGTGAGAGACGAGGTAGTGATCGTGACAGAGAAAATTGTGTCGCTGTCCCATGTGTGGGGACTTGCAGGAAGATAAGTACAACTATCATAGACAAGTGAACTTGGATACATTCTTTTTATTCATAGTGGAGGTCTAAGTGTAAACATATTTATGTCATTTTGTCCAATCCATAAAGGGTGGTGTAAATAGTGTATGCATGATGGAGGATTTGGCTGATGAAACTAACATGGTTCGGGGTGAAAATCCAACAAAGACCATATTGGAGGCTCTAAATGTGGATGAAAACAATGAGAAAGTATATGGGGAAGAAGAAGTAGATGACAATAAAGAGGATAAACAGAAAGAGGATGAGGACGACGAAGAGGAAAAAGAGGATGAGGAAGAGGACGATGATGATGACAATGAGTCAAGTAGGAGAATGTCTTGGAACCGACTATAAACGGAAGTAAAGGTACTGGCAAAGAGTATATCTACGATGGATGGCCATGATTCTGAAACCAACCCTGGGTCAGGGAGTGAAAACTCACCAAAAACCATGGTAAAGCCTTCTAATGTGGATGCGACTAATGCGGATGTAGATGAGTAAAATAACGCAGAGGACGAAAAAAGAAATGAAGATTCAGAGGATGAGGAGAACGAAGAGGTGGATGGGGAAGACTTGAATGACAGTGACGACAACATTGATAAAGATGACGATGACAATGGTGGATATAGTGCGGGCAGTACTCGCGACCTTACTATAGACGGCAGTGAAGGTAGTGGTGAAGATTACGAGTACAACAAGTGGAATGATTTGATTGTAGAAGAATATGGAGTTTGGCATGTTGAGGAGGACGTATGTGACACTCAACCGACCGTTGAACTGCCAGGGGAATTCAGTCGTCTATTGGTAGAGTGTACGTACACAAATCAACGTGTACGTACATGAGAAACCAGTGCTATTTTCGGTGACAGTCAGCCAACTGTGAATCCAATCCGGACGTGTCAACACGGATTGCACCAATGTGCGTACACTAGATTGTCTCGGACATACATTCTTCTATATACAAAGGACTCAGTGTTGTATTCCCGAAAGCTCATCATGGAGCATATGTAGTACACCTTGAGCGAAATATATCCACGTATAATAGTAAGTATGATATTTCGAGATTATTCTTTGGCGCCGCAAAAGCATATAGGGTGAGGGATTTTGATAAATAATTTGCATAGTTAAGGGGCAGAAGTTCTGGATGCGCAAATTACTTAGAGGAAATTGGATTTGAGCATTGGACAAGAGCTCACTGCAAAGGGGAACGCTACAATATCATATCTAGCAACAACTCGGAGTCTATAAATAACATCTTAACAAAAGCAAAATCATATCCGATTTTCTACATGATAGAGTTCATTCAAGAGGTCCTTATGCGGTGGTTCGCAGCCAGGAGGAAAAAAGTGGCTAAGTGTAAATCTTTAGTGACGCTTGAGGTTGATGAGCGTTTTCTACAAGATTTACCTGAGTTTGAGAAATTCGCTGAAGATGTCGAGACCTTGGAGTTATCAGGTTACAAGCAAGTCTGGTGAGCATTTCCATGTCGTACTCGACGAGTGTACGCATACGTGGCTTAGGTACACGAGGTTAAGAATCCCATGTGAACACGGTCTAGCAGTTGCATTACAGTTTGGGATTAATCCAAAGACTGTTGTTGGCTTGTGGTATAGCCTTCAAACGTTTTCCGATTCTTTTCAAGAACCGATTCTACCTATCGCGGATCCAAAGGATGTTGTCATCCCACAAAATATATCGGAAATTATACTTATTCCTCCACACAGTAGACGACCACTCGGGAGACCAACCTGCAAAAGGATACCATCTAGGGGTGAAAACCGGGTAAGTTATATCATTTTAACTTGTACACTTATTGACTATATCTATGCTATGTCTATATACATGATTTGTTGTTAACTTTTGTTGTTTCTCAAGTTCAGAAAAAAGACAGAAAAGACTTACTCCGAATCAGTGTACAAAATGTAGACAAAAAGGTCATAACAATAAGACTTTTAAGAATCTAATTTAGCTTTGTGTGTTTGTTTTTTGTCGACGTGTTGACAGTGTACGTTTATGTATGTACTTTGTGTACCAAAGTTTATTCTGGGTATGTTAATATTTGACATCGTATAACTATGTACGGTTTTTGATCTTGTATGTGTACGTATACCTTACACCACAAACGGTTACATAATTTCGTATCTCAAACATTGCACCCTTTCGAACTAACCATTTCGTTAGTTACAAACTTTTCTTATTTAAGCCAAAACCATCAGGATAGTCTGGGTCCTCCACATAAGTTACTTTTGTTTGAACTGATTTAGTGGAGTGTACACGATCATGAATTTGAGCATCACTTCCTTCCACAGCTGCATCCTTCTTTGGTTCCTCCTGCAAACAACAATAATGTTAAGTTAATTTAAAATCATATTAAAAACCTTAATGATATATGTACAAAATTTATAAATAACAGCCTCTATAACTTACAAGATTTTCAGTTGTAGAGGCAGTTTTATGAGCGTCCTCATCAAAACTAACTCATCGTTTAATAGATTTCTTCTCTTTTATGGGGAGAACATCCTCAGATATTTGAAACTCACTTCATACCATCAGATTTGACTTTTTCCTGAAATAAAGACCAAATAAATTTAAAATGTTTATGTACGTACACTAATACAATATCTGACTATTTGTAGTACACGACATACCTGGTCAGAAGGTACACCATAATCAAGTCCATCAATTTTAGAGTCAGGCATATCTGCTTCTTTAGTAGAAGTTTGAGGGCCAGCTTTTTCTTCCTCCTGTAACATAGAAAACCAAATACCTTGTGAGAAGGTGGAGGTACATCGTCATCATTGTATTCTGACGTATTCATATTCTTCAGCCGAGAAGATTATAATATTTTGGGATTAAATCTTCGATTCAAAATCAGTATCCTCAGATTTCGGATTCCTGAATCCCCATCCCCAATTAAAATCGAATTCAGTGTTTACAGATACTTACCCATACTTGTGCTCTCCGGCTCCGGCGGGTTACTCGGAATCTCGATTACCTTCTCCGGTGAACTATTCACTTGCCTCTTCTCTGAATTTTTCACTACATTTGAGCGGCGCCGACTCTTCTTCTTCAATAGTTTCATTTTTTTCGCTGTCATCTGTACTCTGGTATCTTCGTCGTCGGAGATTTGTTTGCTTTTGCTCGTCTTGGGAAAACCGAAGTAGAATGAGAGATTTAAAGAGGATTCGAAACGGAATTCGCCGGAATTTTGAAGCGTGTCTGGATAAAAGATAAAGAATGAGAGATTAGATAGAAGATTGGAAAACGGATTTCGCCGGTTTCAACTCAGATTTTTTCTCTTCTCTCCTTCGTCGTTCTTCTTCACTTTAATTGTTTTGAATTAAAAAAAAAAATTAAAACATAATAAAACAAAACCAGAGAAACCGAACAAGCGCAGTTACCTTTATAGTTGAGGGCAGTTTTGTCTGAAAATTGCCAAATTGTCAAACCGTGAAAGGGCACATTCACTTTGTCAATTGGTGAAAAGAAAACTCATTTATGTCCTTTTTCTGAAAATTTCTTAATATTTAACTCTATTCTAAGTTAGTTCCATCAACATTAAACTTAATGAACTCAAAAAGGTCTCAAATCAGATAATAAATACTAAACTTAATTAAAATATTTTACTAGGGGCTCCCATAGATATGCAAAAGAAAGCTCTGAAATACCCAAAACACCCTCTCGGCTTTACACGTTATTAAACAAAACGACAAAAATTAGCCTAAGGGTAAAAAAGTCAAAACAACACAATTTTTTTTCAGTTTTTGCTTCAGTAAGCGAAACCGCCTGCTCGGTTTCTCGGATCTCGGCGGTAACGCGACGGCGCAGTCGCCGGAGATTCAGATTTCTTCTTCTTAACATCCATTAACGAACAATACTCTCTTCTCAAACTTTCTTCTTCGTCCATAATTATCTGCTTCGATCTACACTCCACGCTACAAAACGCTCTATCACCTCTAACCAAAATTCAAAAAAAAAAACACAAATCAAGAACAAAGAAAAAAAAAATGGATTTAGCCATTATTGATGATGACTTACTTATACATGTAGATATCTTTAGCAGGAAGAAGTTTTCTTCTACAGAGAAAACAATGTTCAAGAAATCCAGAATCTTGATAACAACGACGGAGATTAGTCGTGTCCGTTGTCACGGTGGTGGTGACGATAACGTTGGCTTTGTTGACGACTTTAGGACTAATAATTAAGCCACCGTCACTGTTGAGAGTGTTGTTGTTGTTAGTCATCTCCAAAACAATACTTAGTCCCACCATTTTTTTTGGTTTTGTTCTCTCTTATCTCATTTCTTTCAGGTGTTAATGGCGAAAAGAAGAAGAAGAAGAAGAAGAAGATGTTTTTTTTTTTTGGATTCGCAGAGAAAAAAGTAAAACGTTTTTTAAAATGTTTATAGAAGATAGGTGGGACCTACAAGTGTACTACGCGAGGACGATTGATTTTGATTTCTTTTGCTTGATAATCGCCACGTGTATCCTTATATTCATTACTTGTGTAAACTTTTTTACCCATTTTTTTGGGATAAATGTTTACAATATTATCGAATTTTACTTTTGTCGTTTTGTTTTGTTTTTTGTATGCTATAGGTGAGTTTGTTTTGATGCGTGTCATCTTTTAAATTTCAGTGCTTATTTCATGTTTTTTCGTTTTTTTTTCTTATGTAGTTTTATCATTTCTAACTCTATTTCGTGATGCTAAGATAGTAGATTTACTTTGACCCCCAAAAAAAAAAAGATAGTAGATTTCTTGGAAGATTTGAAAATGTTTAACTCTTTTGGATCTAGTATGAATGGAGTGATTGATTCATCGTTGGGAAAAATAAATAATTTTCTCTCTTGTGATTAAGGTGAAAATGAAAAAAGATAAGATAAACTCTTTTGTATGATAAGAAAGAGATCATATAACCCCACATTAGTGTGTTGCTTTCTATTTAGTTAATTTTACAAGGCCGCCATGTACTTCTTTTTATATTAGTGGTAATAATGTGCTCGCTTATTCTAAAATATATATTTTTTACATCTTTGGATCGCCTTATCCATAACCTAATTCATACTACGTGAGGAAATACGATTTGCTGAAATCGAATTTTCATAGAAAAAGCCGTATAGGTAGACCCATACGGTATATTTTTTCATGTAACCATACCACATCTTTATTTGAAGAATATTTGGATTTGATGCAAATTAATTTTCTATAAATTTGATGATATACATCGTAGGGGTCATCGATTAGTAAACACAAATTATGAATTCAACAATTCCATAAGTATTTCTCAATTAAAATAAAATTATATGTACATTTTATTTTTAAACATTCATACTAAAATCAGTTAAATCTATAAAGATTGGAAAACTTTCTACTCGTACATAAGGTTCAAAGTAACATAAGTAAGCAAGTGATCTTCACTCTTGCTGTGGAAATGCAAAAGAAAAAGAGCAAATCTTTTCTCACTTTATGAAGAAACTAAAGTAACATTTTTGAAGGTTGTTTATACACGAATTTTGTGTCGGAATTTTCTATGGCCCATATGATTAAAAGGCCACGAGCAGATGATTTCATTTCCTAAAGACATGAAAGGCCCAAACTATAAACGTAAAATTTTATGGAAATGATTAACCATTTTCTGTTTATTATTGAATTAATAATAATAAAATTTAGTTTTTAACTCTTTTCCATAAACGTAATCATATCTGAAAAGACATTTCTGAAAATTTGAATATCTTTAAATTTTTTAAATCAGTTAATCATTTCCATTATTACAATGTGTTCTGAAAATTAGAGTACCAAATTAGTTCTGAAATTTGTTTACGCAAACAAGTATTGATTTTAACTACATAAGTCCAACAAATTTACGGATTATCTATTATGGATATATCTAATATTTTCATTATGTCCGTTAACAACTTAACACAGACGAATGTTCTCTTTCAAATAATGATGGGGTTTGTTGGTTTTAGATACAAGCAATTGTTGATTATGGAAAACATCACTCTTATTGTTGATGATTAGACTACTAAACATCATGACTCTAATGAACATTATTCAAATTTCACATGGACATTCTTGCAAACATGCATGATTCTAGTGAATATAATCTTTCAAACTTTTAATTTGGAATATATTAATGTGAAATTTCAAATTTTTTGTTTTGTTATATTTCCTGATAAGAAAATCTAAATTAAAATGTTTTTCTTAATTGATGTTTCAAAATTTATTGTCAAAAAACAATCATTTAATTTACACTTATTTAAAAAACAAATTGATGAAAATGAAATAAAGTTTATTTTCTTTCAGAACCATCAATGAATAAATGATGGACTTCCACATTAAAATTGTCTTTTCTCAACACATGATGCTACTTTTTAATTTATATGTATACGATGTTATATTCGTAATATCATTATGAAAAATGGTTAGTTTTGCAAATCACCCTATCATCTACTTTACACAAGTACTGCTCTATCTTGATGTCGTTTGAAGTGCTAATTACTGATTTGAAATTAAATCCTCTAAGATCTAACTATATGAATCAAGTTATGTTGATTGTTTCACATTAGCAAATCCAATTTCGAACGTTTTAAGTGAAATACACTAGTCTATTAATACATGAATCCAGTTTCGAAAGGTTTAAGAGAATAAACAAACAACTTTGATTCTTATTGAACTGAAACTTAACAGAATCCTATATTTGTTATGTTTTGTTTATATTTCTGTAGTTTTCGTATAATCGCTTGAGCCGTTGCATTTATTTAGAGAACGTGATGGGCTTACAAAAGCTGGGTCTTGCATTTTCTGCATCTGCTTCAATTTGGTAAAAAATATTCTACTAAAAACTATGATCTTGATTTTCTTTTGTTAATATATAACGTCAATATCATAATTTGATATTGGACAAGACACAACTAAATATTTCTAACAGCTTTTTTTTTTGCGTATAGTTTAAATTTTTGTTAATATATAACGTCAATATCATGATTTGATATTGGACAAGAGACAACTACAGATTTCTAATAGTTTTTTTTTGTTTGCGAATATTTAAACTCTTTACTATGATTAATTTATTTTGGCATTTCGATCTATTTCATGATGTACTCTTCTATATAGCATGAGTCCATGAATTATCTTTGTCAAGAGATTTTCGGTTGATCCTTCATCTTTCCAGCTCAGATCTCAAAGAGCTCTAGTTAGCCTCCAGTGTAGAAACCACCGATCGTAACAAATTACAATCCATCCATTGATTCCAACTTCTCCTCCTGTTGAACCTTTGTTGTACACAATCGTTTAAATCTGCCTTGTAAAACCTCCAGATGCTGCTCAAATTCATCATTGCGATAACTCTACGTATCGTACAACCATGAGATTTCGATCGAACCGTTTTCACCTCCCCAATGTTAAGATTTCAAGTTTCCGAATATAGACCCATAAAATAAGAACAAATCTGATATTCTAATTGATTACCAAAGTAGTAATCAATCCGAAATGAGAGATAATTCATTTCTTCCTCGATTGATAAACATTACAATTTACAGATACACTCTCTTCTTAAAATAAAACCGGAAAAAACCGGTCTGTTTCTTAAACCGGCTTAATCACCTGAAAAACCGGTCTTAAATAGGTTTTCTCCGTTTGCTTATATAATCAACATTACGTTTTTAAGCGTCCACTTCCTCCAGAGTCTTTCCTTGCTTCTTCATTATTAAACACTTTGTTTCCTTTGGAGGCTTCTCTATGTTCTGCATGTGCTTCCACGTCGACAACCACCTCACTCAAGTCATATGCTGACATGGCTTCGTCTTCATCCTAACATAAGTTTGGTGAATCGTATCAATACTTCCATCCTAGAGAATCAGGTTGTCTTCAAGTTTGAAAGTGGGAAACAGCTCTACAAACTCCTTTGAAAGCATCCACGAATTAGCTTCGGACCCACAAATCTACCATTGAATCAAGAACTCCCGAGCCACAATCCTTTTCGGCAACCACAATTCTTCCTCAATTAACTCTAGTGGTGCTGAGAATTGAACTTGATGATGGTCCCTCACCAATAGAAAAAACAACCAAGAAGTAAGATTTTAACTTTATTACTATCTTTCTTTAACTTCATTCTTACTAGGTGATTAATTTTCACATGCTTATGTGTGAGATTTTTGTACAATTCTTATTTGCATTTTGTTTTTGTTTGTCAACTTGTTAATTTCAGTTTTATTATTGTTGTAGTACTTTTTTGTATTTAAGAGTTTTAGAATTAGATAAAAAGTAACATAAGATGATTAAGCATTTTCAATTTGTAAAAAAATACACTTTCATATGAAATGTTGACGCTAAGTGATACACGAATCCAAAAGATTGAAAAATAGATTTTTTAATTTGTCACATAAGATGTTGTTATATCATCTCGTTAAAAGCGGATCATTGTTGCTAGTGTTAACATACGCTTCTATCAAGACAATAAAGTGTCAACTCAGATATGGATTCAAATCGTTAAACTTAAAATGAATGTAAGGACTAAAGATCCTTGTCTAAAAACTATTTACTGAATTATTCTTAGAAAAAGTTTAATATTTTAATTTCCAAAGAATTTTCTACAGCCAATACATCTTTTTCTACTTAATCAAAATTCAAAAATCGTTGATAAACTTCTAGCTATAAATCCATTATGCTCACACTTTTCATAATCTCTTACTCCCTCTGTTTTGAATTAGTTATCGTTTTAGAAGTTAAATTTTGTTTTAAATTAGTTGTCGTTTTCTGTTTTCAATGCAGATGCTTGACATATTTTCTAATTTTATCACTATTTTTTAAGTTTATCTATTGATGATATAAAAAAAAAACAATACTCTAATTAGGGGTAAAACAGAAAAATTGAATGTTTTCTTAATACTCATGAAAAAACCTTAAACGGTAACTATTTTAAAACAGAGGGAGTATTTTTTTTAGTAAGGTTTACTTTTGTTTTCTAATAATACCACAATACTAATTTATTTTTTATACTCAAAACATTTTTTAAAACCTCTTAGATAGACTTCTCTAGCTATTATTACCCTTAAAAAGTGTCTATTTTGTTTATTCAATTTTTTTAATTATTTACTAAAATTGCAATATTACAATTTAAAATATAACTACCCTAAATTCTAAGAAAACATTCTCACAAAAAACAATTCTAGTCTGAGATTTCGTTTGTTCATTTCTTCCACGATTAGTGTTTTAAGAAAAAATTTTGGGATTCTAAAACTTTGGTGCGACTACCTTTATCAGGTTTTCATCTTTTTTTTTTTTTTTTTTTTTTTTTTTTTTTTTTTTTTTACTAATAACTAACCTTCATTAATCCAAGAACGTCTTGGTACCGAAAACAACAATAGTGCCTCCA